TTGTGTGTTTGGGTAGCCATGCAATGTTACCATCATTGGTTAGCAGAGCTCGTAAGCACTTGGGAGTGTCCGAAAATTTGGGGTACCTTGTTTTAGGGTCCTTATAGAAGGATTCTACTATTTAGGGTACCATGTTAGGGTCCCCTATTTTCGGGAACCCCCATTTAGTCCTTGAAAGCACCTAGGCCACAGGGCTTCGTCGAGGCAGGATTGACCAGTCATAGCCACATGGGTGGTTGTCAAAGTTATGGTCCTTTTTTGGGTCCGTATTATAATGCGGCACCTATTATTAGGGTACAACAACCCACATGTTCGGGGCTGGAGGTTGCAGTTAGGGGAGGATGGGAGGCGTCAAAAGGTACGAGCGGGACCGGGGATAGAGTTTTGATTTGAAATCAGTCTTGATTCAGGCAACTTGTAATATCGCGGCCTAAATAAGTACCAAGACTATTGCTTGGTTCCTTATATTGTGATTATGGCATAATATGCCACAAAACCCAATTCTAATGATGAAGGCCCTTATATGACATGCAGTCTCTTTCAGGGTTTCTGCAACGTGGCACGGCTCTTTGACCTCCTCTCTTTTTGCGGCGGTTTAGAGTTTAGGGTTTCTATTTCAGGGTTTAGGTTCCGGGCTTGAGGGCATAAGGTTTGGTGGTTTCGGGGTTCCGGGGTTTGGGGGTCGGGGCTGAGGGTCTGACGAGGAGGTGGTCAGAGGACCGCTCCCTGCACAGGGCTTGGGGTTTCGGATTTACTGTTTTAGCCGCTCAGGTCCTCGGATTACCCGACAAGTAAACTCGTACTTTCCCGAGGCACGAAGCCGGGAAAGTAGTGGAGGTGTGGTTGCATAGACGACAATCCACAGGGCTCTCCATCAAGCTGTGCCAGAACTGGGCCCGCAAGAACAGGAGCCTCTTTGAACATTTTGGAGCCTCTCCGTTTCAGCTATGTCGCTTCGGTTTCTCTGGGCCCAAGAACCTGCATCCTGAAAGAGGTGTTCTTCTTCGGGAAGCTTGGCAGCTTCACGTGCTTGGCTGGGCGCTTTCTGATGTCTGCAGTGCATTTTGTTTTGGGGTTTAGGGATCAGGGGTTTAGGGTTTTAAAGCGTTGGGATTTTGTTGGTGTTTAGGGTTCATGGGGCTTTGCGGCTGACAGTATGCCCAGTTTAATTAGGTATTTTGGGTTGTGCAGACAAACACACACAGTGCTTGAAGTAGCTCGGGACACGGGAAAGCCGTGCAGCACCCACTTAAAGATTATACAGCGATGTAGATAGTAGGCGTTCAACAGAGACTCTATGCAGGCCTTGACCCTTGAGCATTGCTTCCCTTCTCGTCGAGTCTTGCAGAAATTCCGATCCCAACAACATGTCTGCCAGCCTCTCAGACTAGGCCACAGAGCGCTACTGCAAGTGGTGTGGGTTCGATGGGGAGGGCTTTTTGAGAAGAGCCGAAGCCTGCCCCACAAAACACCACCTTGTGATATGGACACGGCCAAGCTGAAGTCTAATAGCAGTGTACCGAACCCTGCACACATCCTGCGAATCTTGAAGCTTCAAAACCTAACCCAAAACCCTATACCATCCTCTTCAGTAGAGGTCAGACGAGTTCCCTGTGGTGCGACATTGTTCAGCTGGGCGGGTGGCAAAATACCCTAAACCCTAGACCCTGAATCCCACAACTTCACCGAGCATTCTTTGTGTCGAGGTCATGGATCGGCTGGGAAAGTTGGGGCTCCCAGATTTGCTAGTTTGGGAAGGGGTAGTTGAGGCTTAGGGTTGAGGGTTTAGGGTTTAGGGTGGCCGAAACGAATAGAAATACTGTGCCCTTATAGTGCTTTTCAATCAGACTACTGCCCCCCAAACTCTATCCTAATGTTGAAGCCCTATAGTACTGGTTTTGGAATGCCGGGTTTTAGTGAGCTGATGGGCGTAGTGTTGAGTGCCTAAGGGTTTGAGGTGGGTGCTACCTGGGCTTCCTGGTTGGGATGCAACTTGCCCGCGGCTTGGGTTGACATCGAGAAGTTGGGCAACGATGTTTTGTATTATCTCGTTTCCGAAGCCCCCCAAAAGACTGTTCCTTCCGCTTGAGTTCGTTTGGCAATCTGAGGTCTGCTGTCTGTCATTATTTTATGACAGCCTGACTTTGAGCTCTGAGCGTGCCCATGCCATGCTTTAAAGAAAACCTCTTTTGCTTAAACCCCGCCCTGCGGGCGCAATCCTTGCTAGGCGGGATATCGAATCCCCACATGCATTCATGCAGCCCTATGTAAGTGGATGCCGATCATGTGCCGGGTCCCCCCTTTCAGCACTGTAGCCTTGAAACCCAACTTGGACTTATGTTGGAGAGTCGCAAGACCCTGAATCGAATCCGATGCCCTCGCGCTATATTCTTAGATTGCTAGAAACCTCCCACTAAGTGATCTGAATGCTTCCGAAAACAAGTAAGAAGAGGATAAAGCGGACACAGCAAAGAAGACACAAACATAGACAATCTGGGACAAAACGGCACATCTCCCTGCAAACTTCCATCACGGTTTGCAGGTGCCTCGAAGACTGCATGGAGGTCCATCTAGTGACTTCATCTTTGGGTGCCGAGAGGGAACCGAACCCCCTTCCACTTTGTAGAGCTACCGCTCAGGGCTTAGAGCTTGCGGGTGTGATTTTCAGATATTGAGCATACATCGGACTCGATATTGAAGCCCCAATAAAGGGCGCTGTGCATATTCCACATGCCTTAGCTACGTTTTCACGTGCTTTAGCTGCGTTACTCCAACCCCGCATTACATAATATGCAAAGCTGCAGAGCTCAGCAAGGCCTGAGGTGTCCTGTAGACCTGGGTCCCTCAACCCGGCAGTCGGGTATTGATACACTTGGTGTGGGCTCTGCGTCTTGCGAGGGTTTCCCGACGTCGAAGTCCAAGGCAGTGGTTCAAGTTGGCAAGGCAGCGGTTCGGGAGGGATTTTTGAAGTATGGATGCTTAAGCATGTCTTGCCGCCCCTAGAACATGAACATAATAACTCCGTGACATTTGTACGTCACATAAACCGTGCTTTCGCTCTTCGTCCCTGCTTCTACCTTTCTTTACACTGCCATGCTTTCGAGTTGATATCGGTTCGATTTCGTACTTCCCAGCTTAGGCCGGGACTCTTTGTGTACTGAAATCGAATCAGAGACTCCACCAGGATTGCCGTGGCAAAATGGAGGCCAAGACAGTTGTCGGAGCCCTCAACGGCAGGTGTGTGGCTGTGATGTTCGTGCACGTACAGCTTATGCAGGTCGTGTTTCTGCTGATTTCGCTTGTTTGGGTGAAGATCATCACCATGGCGTTGGAGATAGTGATGGTCGTAATGAACATGATGATGGTGGTGGTGATGATGGTGGTATCATCTTCGACACCAAGAAGGAGCCCTCAGCCCTGCAGTGACACCATGGCTGATAGATCGGGTTAATCGTCGTAAGGACTCCATCACTCCATCGCTCAACATCGTTAACATATTGCGGCATCAGGCAGCAGTGGCAGTCCTGATCACTAGTTTGGATACTTTTCACTCGCTCTAATGCAGAATTGTATAGCAGCGGTAGTATTGGTAAGGCCAGCACTGTTGGATCACTTCGGGGGTTTGGCCCTGCGCCAGTCGAGTTTAGAAGTACGAGACATAAGCTCTCCGCCTCTCAGTAAGGTGTTTTGCCGAATCCCGACGAGAATATGCCCCACTTGAGTTATCAATTCCCCGGAGTCTCGAAGCGCATGTTCTGTTGCCGTCTTCGAGCCCCCCGCAGCACTACTGAGGTCCTCATAGCAGCGAGCCCAGTTGTTCTCAGAATGCCGGTTTTTGGAAACTTGATAGATCGGCTCGTTGCAAGACAGGTGTTCCAGCACACCGAATACTCAGGATGAGAACCAGACATTTACTTTGCAAGAGGGGCTTGGCGCTTCATGTGGGGGTCAATGGCACTGTTGCACAGTGCTTTTCCAGATTTCAGTCAAAAGCGGACACACGGCAGGTCGTTATAGCAGCGGATAGAGTCGCAACACAAGATTTCGAAGGCTTGGGGTTAGCAGGGTTTGAGCATGCAGGTAGGCAATGCTTGAAGACAGAGCCTGCAAGGATGCAATTTGTTTGGGGTACTATAGGGGCCTAAATAAGTACCAAGACTATTTTGGGGGTTCCTGGTTATAATTATAGTAAAATGGGCCCCAAAACCCTAGTCGAATTATGAAGGCCCCTTTTCCCGTACTACCCTTGTGGAACCCTTTTTGCAACCCCTAGATAGAGCCTTTTAAATAGGCCCCAAACCCCTATTCTAGTGACTAAGGCCCAACCTTGATAAGAACCCTTTAAAAAGGAACCCTATTCTAACTATGAAGGCCCCTATACTAAGCCCTTATAGTAACCCTTAAAGCCTTTATAAGAACCCTTTAAAGGAACCCTATTCTAATTATTAAGGCCCCGACATTAATCCTGTTTTTTTAAGATGGAGTTTCCGAAAACAGGGAACCCTAATATAGTACCCAATAAAATACTAGGATCCTCATTATCAGGACCCGCAAATAAGGTACCCTAATTTTCGGAAACTCCCGGATCGCCTCCAGGCTCAACAGGCTCTGCGACGGCTGGAGTAGGGAACTCAGAGATGGCCGGAGGGGGGGGGGGGGGGTTCGACGTGGCTTTGTCGAAAAAAAATGGATGATATAGGAGCATTGCTGATTCTAGCTAGCTATTGGTGTGAATATATTATTCGGAAATCTGTATGACGTATTTGACACGTGTTCTGTGCGATTCAGGGGTGTTTTGCTCCGCGTTAACTCTAAGTGCAAGCAACTATTGTAAGAGGGCCTGTTCCTTTCCTGCATGAGAGTGTTTTCAGAGTTCATGTTTGGGCACTTATATACATTCCGGATCTACTCGCCTTAATGCCGAAGCCAGGCCGAGTCAAGAGCAAAGGCGGCCCGGTCGCTTGAGATCGTAATCTTGCAAGACCCCTGAATTCCGAAGACTCGTCGAAGGTATAGGGCCTCCAGAGACTTCGGCTGAGGTATCTCCACTCCAAAGGAGTAGTTCACAGAGATATCAAGCCGGAGAACTTTATGTGGGGCGTGGATGGCAAGGCCCGCTGCAGACGTTGGGTCTTCTGTCTCCCGACTCTGGCGGAGCCAACAGCCTGGCCTTTAGTCTGCACAGCGAGGGGTATGTATGTATGTATGTATGTATGTATATGTGTATGTATGTGTCTGTATCACGGTGTGTGTGTGTGTGTGTGTGCGTGCGTGCAAGTACGTATGTATGTGGAAGGGTAGGTATTTATGGTTGTAGGCATGTGCAGGCGTTTGCGTGTGTGTGTATGTATGTATGTATGTCTCACAACAAACTACTTCCCCCTATCCAATTCCTCATGCCGCAGTTCAACACCTTGCCAGATCCACCACCTCTACATCATCGATTTCGGCCTCAGCGAGGCATACTGGTCGAGGCCTGCGAGTTCTTCCGGCTGCAGCGGGTCCGTCTTTTCGAGGCTTGCGGTCATGCTAGGCCAACACAGTTAACAACACGAGACACACCCAGTGTTACCATACAGTGCCATACCGTCGTACTTACAATTCGTCGCCATCCTCGTGGCGAGCGGTACGGCAACGACACTGCTGCTGCTGCTGCTACTACTACTACTACTACTACTACTACTACTACTACATCTACTGGTACTGCTGCTGCTGCTGTTACTACTAGTACTACTACGGTGAGGATTGTTGCGGCTGCTACTGCTGCTGCTGCTGCTGCTACTGCTGCTGCTGCTACTGCTGCTGCTACTGCTGCTGCTGCTACAGTTGAGCAACGGTATTGGAGTACAGTTGCAGGGGCACAGTCCGTTATGTTTCTCAGTCGAAAGATTGCGGCTATTGGGCCGGGCTCCCCGAATCCTCTTAGGCGGTCGTTTCTTGCCATCTTACCCTGCAGGCGGCACATCTGCATGACGACCAAGAATAGTATGGTGGGGACCGCCCGATACGCCTCCATCAGCACGCACAAGGCCGGTGTTCTGTTCTTGGTTTGTCAAAGGGTGGTTGGACGAGACAGAAGTGAACAGCTTGAACGTAAGCTTCGGCACATGTCTGCGAATGTACAGCTTGTTGGTTGTAGACTGGGGGTTTCCCAAGCTGGGGCCGGATGAGTCAGGGTTGCAGTTAATTTCGGTTCAGGGGACTCATACAGCGATTAATCTCAGGATCTATGTCCTAGGACTCATCATGGTTCAATGCTTTCTTCCACGATCTGCCAGCTCGCTGTGCCTGGTACCCCAAACTCTTCGTCCCAAGGCCCGTTCACCCATTACTTCTCGCCTCCCAGCTCTGAAGCCCGTCACCCACCCAAGAAAACAGTAGCCAAAGTGTTTCGTTGCACCGCAAACTTCGCCAGGCTTGAGCCAGTCTGGAGTGCTCAATGACCCTAAACTTCCTAAGCCCTCAACCTCAAAACCCTCAAAACCTAAACTAGAAAAAGCTCAAAACCCTATCTTCCCCATGCAGAAACTCCATAAGACCATTGTGGAACAAGCCTGTAGGAACTCTTATAGAACACCAAAAGCCTCACTTTCCTGTTAGGGCATCAACCAAACACGTCGAGACGATCTGGAGGCCGCTCGGAATGGAGGTTTCGGTTTAGAGTTCAGGGTTTGAGGTATGCATAGTCCAGGTGTAAAAGGGTTTGAGCTCAAGTTCAAGTGTTCGCTCTTGAACGAATACCAATCATATCCACCGCTACGATCCATACTTTGTTTACGTGGAGGGTCGGGGGACTTACTAAGTAGTTTTTCTACAGAGTTATTTTTACCGTAACCCCAATTAGGGTACCTTCTACAGTTCAGTTGACTCTACTTATTGCTTACAATTCCCCCGACCCTCCAAGTATAGCCTACCCCAAAACCCGAGTGTCTAATGATTAAGGCTCCTACACTACTTGGAGCTTGAAGGGGGTAAGGGTTTAGGGTTGTTGAAGGTTCTTTTCAAGGATCACTGCTTGTGTTGTTTCGTGAGTGTTGCTCTCACAGTGACTTCAACGTCTGTATTTATTGCAGTCGCTCTTCTTGTTGAATCGGGAAGGTGGAGCGGCTGAGATTGTGACCCCAAAACTCAGGTAGCAAAGGATGAACCCTGCCGCAGTTCCAGGAAACGAAACAATGACCTTCAAGCTATAATTCAGAACTCTCACGCATTCTAATGCCTCGCAGCAGATCCCTCCACGAAGCAAGCAAAAGACAACTGCCCAACATTGCTCTTACTTTACCCACCCCCCTGCAACAGTATAGACAAGTGAAAACATCCACCGGAACCGGAAGCACGCACACAAAAACCCTAAACCCAAAGGCCCCAACTGTGGGATTCGCTGATCTTAACTGCAAGGCGGAAACGGCGTTTAAAAAAGGCCCGGAAAACAAGGTAAACCAAAACCGCAGCTTTGGCCAAAGATTCTCCTCGAAGGCCTTGGCGCACATGCTCATCTACTTCCTCCGGGGCGCTCTGCCCTGGTCGGGGCTCAAGGCCGGACGGATGCAGCGACCGAGAAATTCATCAATCAATATATATATATATATATATATATATACATATATATTATATATATACACATATAAGTGTATATATATATATATATATATATAGTTACATAGTTTATATATATATATATATATATGTACGTAGGATGCATCCATACGAGTATGTACGTATATGTTTATACAAATATAAAACAGAGAGAAAAACTATACTCTCTATACAAGAGAAAGATAACCCATGTACATAGTATTGTGTATATATCTAAAGTATATGTATGTATGTATGTATGTATGTATGTGTGTATGTATGTATGTATGTATGTCTATCTGTAAGTTCAGATGTAAGCACGTACATGGATACATGCGCGTGTGTGTGTGTGTGTCTTCATACTCAATCAATCGAGTATATCACTCTGGCTCCTTGGTTATTAGTACTTCATGTAAACATGCTGGTCTTTCAATCTGCATGTGTGGAGAGTCAGTGCTCGGTGCTTGCGTTCGTATTCTCTCAGATCAAGGCAGAAACGGGTTCCAGTTAGGCGAAACCGAACTCTGAGCCTGGCGCCCTAAACCCTAAACCTGAGGGAAGGGTGGTTGACTTGTTCGGAAGTGGGACGCTGCACTGCACTGACCATAAAATTGAGGAGGAACAGGTTCCTTCGAAGATGATGCTTTCAAAAGGAAGCCGGTTCAAGTATCCGAAGACCTTGAAAAGGACCGCTCGGTACAGTACAGATCGTCGCAGAGGCAGATGGCTGAAGGGCAGAGATTCCATAGCATAATCAAGAGGGCAGAGAAAACATGATCTGCTTTGCGAACCCTATGGCCAGTTGCTGTGCCTGTTTTTCGAGAGATATGTTTTTTTCCCGAGGATGCCACTATGCATGAACCGTCCAAGCCAAAAGCAGCAACCAGAGTTATGTATGAACCGTCCCAGCCCAAAATAGGCAACCAGAGTTCCTTTCGTGGGTCCTGCAACCTTTAGTGGCTCCTGCAATGTAACCGGAACAGGGACGACGAGAGCCCTAAACCCCAAACCCTCATCCTCCGTAGGCCTTGCCCCCCAAACGCCTAAACCTTCCTACTAAGCCCGGATCGAAATGCACCCTCGAGCTCCCAAACTCTCCGACTCCAGCACAGTCCTCGGGTCAGGGAGCTAAGACCGAGCAAGAGAAGTACCGGATGATTGGAGACAGGCCGGATGAGGGTGTTAAAGGTGTTCCGTGCCATCGTAGGTCTCGAAGGGGAAGTCAAGCACGGGAACATATAGCTCAAACTACAATGGTAAGATTCTAAGGATCGCTCTTGGGTTCTTCCTTATTGTGGGGTCATTAGAATAAAGACCCTACTATTCAGGGTACTATGTTAGGGTCCCCTATTTTCGGAAACTCCCATATAGACCCCAACACTAGACCCCAAACGCTGCGAAAGAAGATCACTTCGACAGTCCTCAGACCTTACCTCGTAAGCCCGGAGTGATGAAAGGCATTGGAAGTCGTCCTTCGTTGTAGAGTTTAGGATTTAGGCGTTTAAGGTTTAGGGTTTAGGGTTCGGGAGGCACTTCAGAGTGACCTCGTTAAAAGGGTTTGATTGCACTCTTTGCCCGATCTCAACCTTTACCTCATATTTACGAAGCCCCAGACCTCTAACGTCTCCTGCATGGGCCGCGAATGGCTTTGGGGATCTACGACCCAGGTATTCAGGAAGTTAGGGGCAGTGGGGTTTGAAGACGCAAGACGGGCTAGGACTGCTGTTGTTGCGCTGATGTGGACTACGTTTCCTGAGACCCTGCATCTACGACTCTCCCGGCCCACGCATGCAACGTGCATGTTGGAAAATGGCATAAGTCACCCACCGCTGGGACCTGAACCTTGGCAGCTTCTGTCCCTTCACAACCTGCATCCCGAAGACTACTTGCCAAACCCTGCTGGACCCTTTCACTGTTCTCAGAGCCCGGAACGTTCTGTTTGTGTCTTTCCAAGCCATGATTATTCACATCTCCGAGCTTCAAAGAACCCCTCTTCCGGAAGTCTTATCCTCCAACTGCTCAATTTCCTGGGCCCGGAGTAGGGCCACACTACACTGATATTACTTATTTTATGTACATCACCACTTCCACTCTACGGCTACCATCATCACTCATGACAGTTATTTCTGATTTGAGATGTGGTTTCTGTTGTTTGTTCTTCCAGGAAGGAAAGCACGCCTGTGGCCAGCCTGTGCGCACGTTCCTAAGACAAAATTCGGAGTACAAGAGCCGCTCGAGGTGAGACCGGTTGTTTGGACTTAAACCGTTAGGGTTTAGGGTTTAGGGTTTTGGACTTGGAGTTTGTTTGCATCTCCAGAGTTTTCAGAAGCTCAGGTATGTGGGGGAGGGTGTTAAGACTTGGTGTTCCGAGGCAGAAGTTCATCGATTCATTTCGCAGGAGTTGGCATTCGGGCCAAAGTATATATATATATATATACACATATATATATATATATATATATATATACATGTATATAACTGATAGTTTTAGGACGGACTGTAGATGTGCCGAGCTTGGTGCCAACGGTTTTGTGTTTCAACACAACGGTCCTTTAGCTGCACTCGGCCGTTTCGCTCAGTCCCGTTTCGAAGACAGCAGTGAAATCGTATCCAGCTGGACGAATAGCTGCGGGTCTAAAGGCTTGGACTTTGACCATGTGGTGACATGCTGTGGCAGATGGCGCGGAGGGCCTAACGATAGTTCGTTTCCAGCTAGGACCACATTCGGACGGTCCTCTCAACTCCTCAGCTCAAGCATAAATGCAATTAAGACACTGCATTTGATTAGGTTTAGGAGTTCAGGGTTTATAGGATTATCAATCTTACTCCGAATCCGAAGCCATGCTTGAGGCCGACATGCACGGCTGCTTTGCATTCCTGCTCACCTATGCAAGGCTCAGATTGCCATTCTCTCCGAAGCGCATGCACTTGCAGCGATTGTACACGTAGTGTCCAGGATTCCGTCATCTCGTTCGAGACAGCCGCCAGCGCGAGAGTTCTTAAAGGATCATGGGACTTAGTAACTGGGGTTATAAATAAGGTAACTATACTTATAATTACTTCTAACCGCAATTAACGTACTTATAACCTTACTCAGTAAGTCCCATGATCCCTTAAGTTCATGTCATGTCGTACTTCTGTTCATCCACGTAGATGAAATGCACCCAGAGACGCACGCAGCATACTTTATTACTTTACGGCTTGCGCGGTTACGCAGATGGTAGCAGCAGCGTCTTGCTGGGTAGTCTCGTCTAGTTGCCCTTCGTTTGTTGGAACTCCTAGCAACCCCGATTGTTCTTGAGACGCCCCGGTGTTGGCCATTGTAGCATATTCTTAGCAACCCTTGTCCTTCATAGGAGCCCTTGCAGGAAGGTCCTGGCTGGGCTGTTCGAAGCATGGTTCGTGGTCCTTTATCCAGTATCCCATGGTTTTCAAAACGCCTAAACCCTTAAAGCCGCCGAAATTCCTGAACCCTGAATTCCCAAAATCATTACCCCGGAAGTTTCTCGGAAGTGTTGGACCCTTCAGAGATAAAGAGTTGAGTCGAAGGCAGGACAAACAACTCAGAACTTGGAAGACGGCGAAGTAGTATTATAGGGGCCTTAACAATTACGTATACTTGTTTTTTTTTTTTTTTCGGGGGGGGGGGGGGGTCCCTGTTATAATCATAGTGTAATATGCCAAAACTTTTCACATCCTTGAGCCCTACATCTCTAAACCCCTCACACTGAACTGTCTTTGTCATATTAAACCGCTAAACTGTCTTTGTCATACCAAGCCCCTAAACTTTCCTTTGTCATATTAAATCCCCAAACTGTCTTTGTCATACTAAGCCCTTAAACTTTCTTTGTCATATGACTTCAAAAGAGATGCAGGTCCTTGCCCTTCGCGGAAAGACCGGACTACGAGAAGCTGCGGCTGAGCTGGGTTGTGATTTTACCGGACTTTTGGGAAGGTTTGGGTTTAGGGGTTTGGCGGGGTTTGGCGGTTTGGGGGGTCAGGGCCACAGGGTTTCAGTATCTAGCGTCCTGAGGGTTGCAGGAAGATGTAGTTGCGATGCAAAGGTTCAATGTTGCAGAATCTTGCTAAGGTTTGCACGCTTCAGAAATCCTGAACCCTAAACCCCAAACAGAATCCACAGGCTCGCGTCTCACTCTGCAGGCCGCCTCTGTTTTTCTTTGCACTTCTCTTTATGCAACCTTGATAGAGCCCTTAAAGACCCAACCCTAAGCCCACCCAAAACCCCTAAACGGCAGGTAGCAAGCTGAGCCATGAAGCCGTGCCTTCGAGTGCGAGTGTGCGAGTCGAAACCGACCCTAAATCCCTAAACCCTAAGCCCTAAACCCCGAAACCCTAAACCCTCCCCCCCCTCCTCCTTCTGCTTCTGAAGTTCAGAGTTGAGGCTCTTGGCTTCGGGTACAGTTTAGCTTGGATTCAGAGGCCTAGCCAGGCCGGCGCTCCTCCAATAATGAGAGTCATCATTCTCATCATGCTAATGGCAAGAGTAATGAAAATAGTTGTAATTACTACTCGTATTAATCTACGGATATAGTTATTCCTATTTGTATATACTATGTTAATGTTGAAACTTAACTGTATTGATATTAATATGGTCTGTTTGATCTTAAATTTTTATACTAGTCAGTTTTTTATCCTAATATTCATTTAACTGGTTCGTGAACTTACCAGTTATGAGTTAAGATTAGTAATGATCGTATGATATAATGAATTATGATCATTGATGTCCATACTCTCGCTTTTAATTACCAATGTATTCTGTCACTTTAGTGTTATCATGATCATTGTAAGTGCCTGGCTGAGGGATCTTGGATAAGTTTTGTGACTCCGAGTGGTACCTCCTCCAAGCATCCTTTCGCTGTTCTCCAAAGTCCCCGCCCACCCCCCCCACCCCCCCCACCCCAACCCTCAACACCTAATTGCTACATGGGGGCCGACGAGGGCTGAGAGGGAAAGGGAGGGGCAAACGCAAGGGCGGGTGCGTGACCTTGCTTCAGGCTTCTACCTGCGCTGCCCGCCCGTGGGCGCAGCCCCTAGAATCCTAAACCGCAAACCTTACTGACCTTACTGTAAATCCTGAACCCTAAGATCCCTAAGCCCTAAACCGCAAACCCTAAATCCTAAACCCCTACACCCCTCATTAGCGCCAGGTCCCACGTCTTCACCAAAGCTGCGAGCCGAGAGTTTTCGGTTAAGGCAGTGGCGAGGCAATGTATAGATATAATTGTAAATACAAGTAAATAAATATATATGTATATACATACATATAAATAAATAAATAAGTTTTTGTAGATATATACATATATACATTTCCATATATTTTTATAGAGAGAGAGAGAGAGAGAGAGAGAGAGAGAGAGAGAGAGAGAGAGAGAGAGAGAGAGAGAGGCCTTTTCAATTCGGATTTCTTGGGAAGGGGTATCACAAGGAACCTGAAGGAATCATGCTACCTGCTGTTCTGGAGAGTTCCAGGTGCGTGGATTTGCGCAGATTCAGGATTCAGCTGCAGTCCTTCGTTTCTGGTGGTTTGTAAAACAAACAGAGCAGTTCAGCCAAAGCAGCATAGCGTTTGAATGCTCATGAGAAGTGTTTCGACGATCATGCATACGGCGAATTAGTGCTGTTGCGATGGCAATGGTAGCATTTGCGGCCTTTGCAAGCATATTTGTGCATGCGGCTACTGGCTTCTGTTTCAGGCTCTCGCGATAATGTGGGCATGGCTGTGATGAGCATGATGAACATGCCTATGCGGCAATGCTTGCTACATGCCCGCTGAGTTCTACGAACATAAGGTGCATTCAGCATCATCAATGTTCGTGTTTTTGTGTTCATTCGTACTGCTCGCTGGTACTGCAAAGTCAAACCAGCAGTACACAGCAGTTTATACAGTGACAAGCAGGATGATGGCGGTGGTTCATACGGCTGCGTTCGTTTGTAGTCGCCGTTAGCTGGTAAGGTCCGAGGCGATGTTGGCAATCCGTTGCGGCTCTTGTTCTGTGTTGTGGGTGTCTGCTTTGCGGGCTCGCGGTATGAGCTTCTCGTGTGTGATGAAGATGCGGCAATCAGATCTGCCATCTCCACTGCTAGCTGCTAGCTCTCTCAAGCTTCAATGCAGATTATAGACTTGCCGTCACGATGGTCTGTCTAGCAGGAACAGGGGCTGCGAAGGGCCCATTTAAACTCCAAGTCGATTTCAAGCTCAGCCACGGCGTGATTAGTTGGCACGAAGGCATCATGTCGACATAGCTGATTTAGCCTTCGACTCGCCTAGCGCATGCCACACCGATGGACTTCACTGTGCGGAAAGCATATGCTTGCCCGATCTGCGGTGAATCCTTCATCAAATGGGGCCTATGCCTATCCCATCTCCATGCAAGTGAACCATGCAGATCCGCCCTCGGAGAAGATACCCTCCGCAACTTAGGACAGAGTAGGAAGCCTTTTGCCGTCAACTTTTTATGGTGGTACATGCCCTACATAATCCAAACGCTTAATCGTCAGACTCCCTAGGAAACTGGGACAAGTAAGGCAATGTGGAGCAACTCCAGGAAATGTGCCGTGCTGCTGCCTCTGGCGAGGCCGCAGCAAAGCAGGATGCCACTGTGGACACAACTGTTTCACCCGACAACTCCACCCCAGAGGCCCCCGTGACCGAGGTGGCACCCTCCACCTACGAACCCATGGACGGGGTTGAAGCCTCTACCTTTGAACCCCTCGGGCACACCAGCTTCGAGATGGCTGGGATGCCTGCCAACTACGACAACATGAGCGGCGTACAGACCACCAACTTCAACAACATGACCGGTGGCACTGGTCCCACCTTCGACACCATGAACGCCAACAACATGACCGGGGTCGCAGGTCCTACCTTCGACTCCATGAACGGCAACAACATGACCGGGGTCACAGGTCCCAACTTCGACAGCATGAATGGCAACACCATGACCGGGGTCGCAGGTCCTACCTTCGACTCCATGAATAGCAACTCCATGAACGCCGTCACAGGTCCCAACTTCGACACCATGAACGGTGTCGCAGGTCCCAACTTCGACGCCATGAACGGGGTCATGCCTTCCGCTTTCGAAGGCATGAATGGCGTTGCGCCAAACTTTGATGCGTCCAATTTCGATGCCATGAACGGCATGATGCCAGCCAACTTCAACATGAATGGCATGATGCCCTCTTCCTTTGATGCTATGGGAGGTGTCCCAAATGCCTTCGATGCCATGGGCGCGGTTGCGCAAGGCTTCGACGGTATGATGGTTCCACAGATGAACCAGATGAATGTCCAGATGAATGCGCAGATGAATGCCCAGATGAATGCCCAGCTGAACGCCCAGATGAATGCCCAGATGAATGCCCAGCTGTTGAATGCTCAAATGAATGCCCAGATGTCTGCTCAGATGTCTGCCCTTCAGATGCAAGCCCTTCAGCAGCAGCAGTTGGCACAGTACTCTCAGCAGGAAGCCTTTGTGCCCAATTCCACAGCTCCCACAGCTCCCACACCAACCCAGACCGAGAGCAAGAAGGATGCCAAACCCTGGGCCAACTACAAAGCATCCTCAGCTTCACAGTCTCAACAGTACAAAGCACCGTCTAAGGCACATTCCCAGCAAGCCAGCAACCTCTTGAAACCCCAGCCAAAGCCGGTACCAGCACCCAAAGTCACCCCAAAAGCACCTCCCAAAGCTGCGCCGAAAGCTGGTGATGGCTTGATGAAGGAGCTCGCCGACGCGACGCCCGCCTACACCAAGCAAAAGGCCCCACCCCCACCACCGTTACCTCAGCCCAGTGCAGACGCACACGCCAAAGGACTGCCTGCCTTGGACGTTCCTTGACCAACGTTTCAGCACCATTATCACCATTATTGCTAGTTACTGGTGGTTTTTCATTCTTGTTCGACCAGGATTATGATTATTGTTGTTATTAGTATAATTGTTATTAAGTAGTAGTGCTATTAACGGTATTATCATTGCTATTCATTTTTTGAAGTCAGCGGCTGCAAAGGTGCTGTCAGGGCAGCCTGTACAGAGGGCTTGTAATCAATGCATGACGGCTCGATGTTGAGTGTTGCTATGTAGACCATGTAGACCATTATCATAATCGTTCAATTCTTGTTAACCCTGTCATTGTTGCTTTTTCGACGATCATGTCATTATGTCATTATCGTGCGTCTTAGTCTCTTTAGTGTTCGTATTGTAATCTTAGTAAGCATGGTCATTATTTCTTGATTTGCACGCGTAAGTCTTGGCATTATCATTAGCTATGGATAGTGAGGTTGGTGAAACTTCATTCCTTGTCCGAGCCCCGAACTGAGACCATCAGATTCCGAGAGCCAAGGTGCGATGCGTCGCTAAGCTCCGTCGTGCATTGCAGTGTGGCTATCTGACTCTCATGGAACGATCCACCCTCTCCGAGAAGTTGGAGGAGTTAGCCACCTATGCTCCCTCGAAGCAGCTCGCAACGGTGAAGAAGTTCCTCAGTCCGAGCTACGAGGATTTCAGGTGGATTAGTAGCAAGGCGGAATGGCTGCAACGCTGCCTGAACTACACCCGGGCTGGAGGTGAGAATTATCAGTACAAGCACAAAGGCACAAAATCCGCTTCAGTGGAAGCTCTTGAGAAAGCTTTAGCCGATCATGGGTTGCTGCCTTTTGCTATCGACGAGGGGCGCCCTGGATGGACTCGCCTTGGTTGTAAGTACCTAAACGATCATGAACTTAGTAAGTAGGTTATAATTGGGGTTAGAAGTCCCCGAAGTGGGGTTATGCTAATTACAACCCTACTTATAACCTTACTTACCAAGTCCCATGAGCCTTTAAGTAAAGAGTTCGTAGACCGACGAATCAGGAATCAGTCTTGTCATCTCCGGTTGTTGTTTCCGCCCGGATTAATACAGGGGTCGAAGTAGTGCTAATCGTATTCCCTTATAGCTCTTAAGATAGATATAGCATAATGCCCCCGAGAAGCCTATTCTAAGTATTATGGCCACTATATTGCAAGACATACCTAAGGTGCTGGAGCACCTTTGGTCTCTTGCCGCCCTTGTTGCAAGAGAACGTGGTAAAGGCAGTGCGCCACGGCTGCTCGATTGCAAGACCATACACCGTAGAGTTGAAGCCTTGAAACGCCTTGAAGCCCGTTAACCCCTAAAACTACGCCGTTAAAGGTTTGGTTCCTGGCTGGTACCAGGCGACCGGGAGGTGCAGGTGTCATGTGAAGGTCTTTGTCATATTCATCTGCCGCTGATAGGGGGTTGAGTCGCAGGGCGGCTCTGTAGATATAGAATGCTTAAATATGTTTTTAGAGGACATAGCCGCATGAGTCATACTGCATTAACATGTGCCACGTTTTTCTTAGTACTGGGTCTAGCAGAAAATGAACTGCGGGATCTTCATTATCAGGACTTGGTGTAAGATCCCACCCATATCATGGTTACTTTCAGCCTCTGCGTTCCGAGGCTTGTTTCTATCTTCCACACTGCAGCCGTCGGAGCACTTCGTGCACATCTGTGTGAATGAGGAGGTGGGGTTTACGAACATGAGTCAATCGCCAGGGTGTATTTAGGGCAGATCTCGGCGTCCATGTCCAACTTGTCGATCAACCCAGGGTGGTGATACAGGGGAAAGCCATATCTGATAGTTCTTGAACGGAGGTTTTGGCCGGACCAAGTTTTGATGTCGGACCCATACGGGTGCGAGCGTAGCCCTAACTATCCTATACTATATCATACTATACTATAGTATACTATAGTATATATATATATATTATATATATACATATATATATATATATATATATATATATTTAACTGCCATGAACAAGAGACCGTTTCGGTCTCGCAGGACCTTATGTCCTGAGCAGTAAGACAGAGAATCAATTGACACAGTCGAGCAGGTCGTCTACAATTTGGAGGCGAAGCCTGTGCCAAGCGACGCACAGCTGCAGCATAATGGTATGTTTGCGGATGTGCATAAACAGGTAATGCAGATACCAAGTAAGGAATAGATAACTGCATGTGTATATCTGTATACCGTTGCATGCTGACCAGATCATAGTCGGCAAGCGTATGAATGTATGTGTATATATATATATATATATATATATATATATATATATATTGATGATTATTGATGCATGTATGGCTGATGTAAGCATCTGTATGCACGCATGTGCGGTAGCTCAGCCAGCCGAGACACTCACTCTGAAGATGTGTTCCAGCGACCCCCGTGATAGCATTATTATCACTACTTTTGGCTGCTCTTACTATTATTCTTCCTATCAAAATTTTATTGCTACTTTTCGGATTATTTCAACACTGCCGTGAAATTATGCATCAGCAGGACCCTTGGGGAATCATACCAAGCATACGTTTTGAAGGACATGCCGACTCCTGAGCAAGCGGGCATGGAAAGTATCGACCAGACGCTGTCGCTCGCCTTGGTTAGCGAAGCGTCGGAACTCTTGGACCCTGGACCCATCCGTCACTGACAAGATTTTGTATAAATATGTATATATGTACCCCAGCACTCAGTCGCAGTCATCAGGCAGTTCCTGAGCTTGCACATCCGACTTTTCGAAGAGGATTGAACGGTGTTGTAAGCATTCTCACTGTCGTGGAAGGTTTCGAGCTCAGGGTGATAGCGTCAAGTGTGTGTGGAGCGTGGCACGGATGTGTGCGTGCGTGAGCGCGTGCTTGCACATGTACCATACAGTCAAGAAGACCAAGCTGCCCAGCTGCTGAAGAATGAAAGCCTGGTTGCCTGAGGTATCACCAGCTCCGACAGTATATCCTCTTCCAGCATCGGAATTCAGAAGATCGGTGCTTGCGGCTGCTAGCTGAGAACCTTGGCACGAAATATACAGAAGCCCACGGGAATTGGCATAGTCAATGCTTTCATCGGGAGTGCTTTGTGCAGATGTTGGTACACTGTTGGCACCTGAGTTTACTTCGCACTTAACGGCCCGAAATTGCAGGAATGACTCTGCAAGCTCGCCAGGAGTGGACCAATCTTGCCGGGCACACCCAACAGCCTTCTTTACGTTGCTTGGCCGATTCTTGTCCAGGGCCTTTCGAGCATTGTGCGCGGAAGGCTCTCGGGCAGATCTTGCCCAGTCAAGGCTTCTCATCATCGCCCTTGCGTTCATTCATATGCAGGGGTTTAGGGACCGTTACATTTGCCAATTCTTCGTGCTAGTACTGCAGCATGCCGCAATGCCCAAGTGCAGCAAAGCGCGACTGTGGCGTAATTACTATGGAGATACAAGTCGGTTTTCAGTCTTTCCAACCCTTTCCCTTTCAAAGCTCATCCAGGTTCACATGGCCACGTCCGATGAGCGAATGAAGGGATCAGCAGAGGCCGGCCGCGGTTTCAGCGAGACTACAGCCACCAACAAAAGTTCCAGGCCTCGATAAACTGTCAATCCGAAAAGACTTTCCAAGTTTTGTAGGCAAAAGAGAGAGCCGCAGGACGAATCTGGCAGAAACACGAGCCTTCTCAGAAAAATCGAAAAACCGGAAAAATAAAGAATGCCAGCAAGGAACAACAAAATCAGGAAGATCCAAAGGAAAGTAATAAACGAAGGAACAAGGAAATACAGACAAGAAGAACAACACGGTGAGCAGACATAATGAAATACAGAAAGAAGGAAACTTATGCATAAATCGGTAAATACGACTAATAACGGCTAGCAAGACAACAACTAAAGAATTGATGCAAGAAAGCAAGACAGAACAGAAGAACGAGCAAAACCAACAAAACATACAATAGAACAGAACAAGAACAAAAGAACACACACGCAACGACGGCAACGCACTGAGTAGATCACCCCAACAACAAAATGACTGAAACAACGAGGGGAGTGCGGGCAAAGGAACGACATGCCGACATCAGGAAAGGAGTGCAGAAAGACATAAGCAGCAATGTACGCAATAAAGAGTTTAAGACGAGATAAAATCATCATCATCGTCATCGTCATGGGTCGTGTTACATCGAACGTCCTCCTGACCAAAACCAGGCCAGAGCAGTCAACAGTGGTTCACGGTTAAACTTCGCATGGTGACTGCACCAGTGTTAAACGGAGCTTAGCTTGACTGTGCTGCCCAAAACAACAATTGAACTTCGCGACAACGCAAACTGCATTTAAAAGGCTGCTTACCAGCCTTGTGACTGTGATGCCGATAACGGTTTAAGTCGTATGGATCTGGGGTTCAAAAACGCTTAGACACCCTTCATCAAACCCTGCTTTTCGATTTCCTGAAATAGATCTTTTACTATTTTCACGCTTTCGAGACCAGGCCTTGAACTGTATTTGCAGAGAGTTCTGAGACCACAGTGGTACCAACGGAGCGGCCATGGTAGGGATAGAAACGATGCCCGAAGCTCATTACAACTTAACGCCTCCATCCCACGCTGCAGAGCCCAAGCCCTAAGACTGAACCCGAAAACCCCAAACGCCAAACGGTTACAGTCCGAAAGAGCCTTGAAGTTTGTTTGCCTTAACCCGACAACAGACTGCGAGCCGTTGCGCCACGCGCTCTGCTCTAGACGAGACACTCACATTCGATGGCTACATAGAACGGCCATGTGCTCATGCTTCATGGGGTTCAGGGACAAGTGCACTACATAGGTATAGGTGCTTCCAGGGGCAGCACCGGCAGAGCAATTGGGCTTGATACATTCAAAGAAACGAAGTCCACTCTGTAAGCGAGAACATCTAGATTGAAGGAACGAAAGGCAAGCGAAAAGAAGGTACCAGAGATAGAGGTCATGAAACCATGTCAGGCTTTGAATTTGGTTCTTGCAAGTGGCGTAATTGCACACAGATCATCAAGCATTCTGGCTTCAAAGCCGCCTCACAAGGCCCAGCCGTTTTCAAATCCAATATTTGCCAGGTGCTGTCCCTGCTGCATGCAGCTTCTGCATGCGGTCTCTCAAGACTATGTGCTCGGCTGCTGTGGCGCAGGGGATGACTAGCATTCGGGGCTTGATGAGGGCCTGGTGGGTTCAACAAGAATCATGGAGGCAGTATCGAACGTCTCATGTACCTGTGATTTTGTTGCTTCCACCTAATTGATCTGTAGCTCTTCTTAAGAAGAAGATCACCAGTTTCCTGTAGCCATCTACACCGGGCATTCTCGGGCCTTGAGTGTATTTCCCCGCAGTCACAGATAGACTTCGTGGTGCTTGTCCGGCCGTGCCGGACATGATGAGGTTTCCACCCACCCTTAGGCCCTTCGGGAAAACCCTTAGGCCCTTCGGGAAAGGAAGAGGCTTCACGTGAGGTCCCCTCGCTGAAGGTTGCGGAGCGGCTTCAAAGTGAAGAGCATGTGCTGCAATGCTTCCTTGGTTCCTCTGCCAGCTGTGTGCATGCCGTATTTTCGTGAAACCAGATCCTATCCAAAACTTTATTATAAACTTAGACCCCCAAGCCCCTCAACTGTAAAGCAACCCTTAATGCACCGCAGCCCGGGCCACCAACAGACCTATAGGACCCTTGTTCAGGAACCCCCTAGGACCCGATGGTGTGCCGGAGCCCGCACTCAGGTTCCTTGCGGAGGGCTTACCGGCCAGTGTCATGTGGCAGCACTTTGCTGTCTCGTGGCGGATTCCGTTCGTAATATAGGGGCCTTCATAATTACGTATACTACGTTGGGGTTTCCTTATTAGGGTTAGAGTATAATAGGCCCCAAAGCCCTATTCTAATTATTGTTATTATTATTAAGGCAGTGCTTGCATTTCGTCATGGTGGCTCTTGCCGATCGGCAAGGGCCAACAGGTCTCAATCCAGCTTTTATCTGAAATTTTATCTGCAGTTTCGTGTGCGGCGTGGGTACTGCGACATTTAGCCGAAGTTGCCCGAACTTTCTCGTGGTCAGAGGAGGAAGTGTGAGTTAATTATTATCTTCTAGAGGAGGAGGAGGAGGAGGAGCGAAGTAACATGAAGAGTACGGACAGGGTAAGCGCCGGAGGTAAATTGGTTTGTTTTCTTCTGTAGCAGTACATCAAGAGTTCAAGCGGTATGGCCACTAGTCACAAACACTTCAATGAGAACAAGCATGATGCAAACCGCGTTCGGACTGCATCCTTCTTCTTTACATCAGTGGCCTGCTTTAGTATCGCATTTCGTATTCTGTGCATCCAGGCATGTTTGTCATCAGTTGTGACATGCTGCTGTTTCGGTGTATTCTTGGCTTCGTGTTGCTATCACCATTTCACCATATACCCGCTTGAAACTGGATCGCCATGCCCCAGCAGCTGTAGAGCAGTCCTATTCTATCCTCCGAGCACAGGTACGTAACACGGAAGCACGGGATGCTGGATGTTAGTTTCGACGATTGTTGTTCACAGATGACTGCGACAAACGGCCGAAACTCGAGTCCTTCATCTCCAGAGTTTGAACTCTGACCTGAGCTTCGAAACCCCATGGGCGCCAACACATACGACCTATCTCTTCAACTTCATAGCTGGACCTAGACTTTGAGAATTGAGTTGGAAAGTCTTGCGTGAGAGCTGAACGAGAGAGCCAATCTTTAAGAATTGGCAAGGAGGCTACCGGGAACGAGTTGGCCACACCTCTTCATCTCGCAGCAGGGCGCGGGGTGTCTTTGCAGCCAAGGGGGCCAAATTAGTAAGGAGTGGATCCTCTTGCCTGGGCCAGACCTTTTGAGGCTCTGTTGCGGCAGAAGAAACCGGTGTCATCTTGATAATGTATGTTGCCTGGTAATTTTCATAGGGTTGTCGTGGTTCCTTATTCTAGCTATAGTATAATGTACTCCCAAACACTATTAGAAGAAGAAGTAGAAGGAGAAGTAGTAGTAGTAGTAGTAGTAGTAGTAGTAGTAGTAGTAGTAGTAGTAGTAGTAGCAGTATTGAACTGCACTCTGTCGGCTGCATTTAGGGTCCTCTCAGGTTTAGCTTTTTCGGCCCGGAATGGTTCAATTGTCACACCTTTTTCGATTATCATCACACCAGCCTCGATATCAATTGTTTGGCCTATTCTGAGTTGGAATCTCTGCGCAATTTAAAATCCTCTAGCAGCCGGAAACACGGGCCCGCGGAATATTTAATGGCCACCCCAGCTATCATTGTGATTCCAACATCCGTCAGATTTCAGTCGGCTGGTGCTCCTACTACTACTACTACTACTACTACTACTACTACTACTACCACTACTACTACTACTACTACTACAAGTAAGAATAGTTAGTAAGAGCAACAATTATCATAGTAATGACAATGGTCATGTGTCTTAATGGTTGTACTTCTTGGACCAAGGCCCTGGAGTCTGTGAAGGTCCTGATCAGGGCGAAGGCAGATGTGCTGAAGAAGGAGCGGCGACTTTCAGGGTTCAAGGTGAAATACAGGGGCCTTAATAATTAGAACAGGGCTTTTGGGACCCGTTGTACTACACTTAGAAGAAGGAACCGCGAAAACCGTGCGGTTTTGATAGGTTCAGCTCTTGCGCGAGTTTCCGGAAGTCTTCTTGGTGGTTTCAATTCGTGTGCAGTAAGTATAAGGTTTCGGGATAGAGGGTTCGAGGCGGGCGGCTACGGGGTTTGAAACGTAGAGACTGCAGTCTTCTTGCCGATATGAGAGTTTCGCGGTTGGAGGAGGTGTGCATTGGGGCTCCGTGGTTCAGGGTTAGATTGGGACACATGGCGGCGCTGAGCATGTCTGGACACATTGGCGGCCTGTTTTCGAATCTGTAGCTGCCGCGCTGAAAGCTGAACTTGGAGCGTTTGTTTGGGCTTGGGGATATGTACGTAGATGCTCTTGTACACCACATCTGAACTGTTCTACGACTTAAGCAGCTAGTTTGAAAGGACAACAACGGTCGCACGCCAATGCACCTCGGCGCTGCAACAGAAAGGCTCTAGATCTATGGACGGTTTCGGTCAGCACGTTCTTCCATGATTCTTCCCCGTGTCTTGAGCCCGAAGCCTTGAATGTTTGGAAGCTGACATGCCACAAGTCTTCTTTCGGTTCTAGAAAGGAGCTTCAGAAACATGCTGCCAGTCACTCTTTTCGGAATGCGGCATTGGCTTTAGTTAAGATAACGATTTTGTTGCCCCGGCGGACATGTTGTTTTTCCTTGCAGCTAATGGTCAATGACAATTAGAGATCGGAGAAAGCTTGTACCATGCCTCAAAGCTAGTCGACTGTCGGGGGTAGGGTAGGATGAATCATCAAGGAAAATGTCGTCAAAATGAAGGCTTTCAGTATTGGTAGTTATCTTGGAGTGATCAGGGTTTGGTTTTGAGGTTTTGGCGGGGCCCTAACCGTACGGTAACCCCCGGGCCCCAAAACAGCTTCAATTACCCGTCACTCCTGGCCCCCGAACAGCTCCAATTACCCGCAAACCCTCCTACTCCTACTGTAAGTACTATAGTAATGTACTGCTGCTATTCTACTGATGTAGGAGGCAAAAATTACTGCACTACTGGAGCATACTGTACTTCTACTGTAGTACCACTGTACAATATGTGCTACTTTTTCAACACCAACACTGTTTTACCGTTGCACGATTACTGTACTACTTAGCCTTAGCCGATGCTGGTGCGAAGTGCAGGATGCAGGCAAGAGTTTTGAATAAAGATTGATCGGGACTGAGATCGGCCTGGCGGACCCCAACACGGTAAATCCACAGTAGCTCCATCGAAGAGAGGCTTCGGTTTGGGTAATTGCACGGTGCTCCGTGCACGAAACTTGGCATGACATGTCTTAAGTCGTCGCAGCAGTGCAGGTATTTATGTACACATGGATGGTCGAGTGTATTGTGTATGTTTGTATATATACACATATACATATGCATGTTGTTTTGCCAGTACTTGTTTGTTTGTTTATTCCGCTCAAGGCCCCTTCACAATGTCCCAACCTACGGAGGTACTATGCAGTTACGGCTGCGCAGGAGGATGCAGCAACTCCGGCGCAGGAGTCGCAGCACCAACTGCATTTGCAGGCGCCATCGACGGGATGTTCCACACAGAGTGCGGGGGCGGGGGTATATTCTACTATGTTGCAAGCATTGTACAGGTACGATCAGTGGATACTCTTTCCAAGTATGCAGGCCGCCTGCATGACACACGTAGCATCGGAAGTCGTCCCTCTGTGATTGTAGAGAGGTGAACTCTCTTGTTTTTGTTTGATGACATCAAGAAAGTCATAAGCCAGAGACAGACCCGGCAGCACCCGAATGTTGCTCATTCTAGACATGTTGCCCTCAAGCACACAATCTCAGGCCGGAGCCTACCGCCTCAGTTCGCCAACCCCTTTGGAATCTAGACCGAACGAAAGCCTCCACATTAACTCGCCTCAAGCTTCGTCGAAGTTGCAAGGATTTCTCTTTAGACTCTTTAGCAGCCACACAGAGCTTTCCAAGCTGTCAGAATCCAGTTTCCATCATCAAACCCAAAGGTACAAAGAGTTTGCTTCCGGGCAGGCTGACTTACTGCAAGAAATTGAGACGCAGATCTCGGAACCATTAAACCCTACTTGGATGGCCGCCCTCTACACCGATCAGGTGTGCCAGCAGCTCTTGAACGGCGTCTTGCGAGTTGCAAGCTGGCACAAAACTTAGGTGGTTCGAGCTTTTGTGTTTTTGGGTTGTGGGGGTCGCCACTGCATGCTGGCAGTGATCTGTAGACTATAGACATCTTGCCTTGATTACTGAGACGAACCAGTTTGCAGCCCCGATTCCAGTCTTCCCCTCAGATCTAAAGACCCACTCCTCCTAAGGGTAAACCCTCAACCCGAGCACTGCAAGCCACAAAGCATCTCCTCTAAAGACTGTCCTCGTCGCGCGTCGGCTGCATCTTTGCCAGTGCTATGATGCATAATACAGAAGCCCGAGTGAATCGTAATAATGTTCATTATGGTTCCTTATGGTTCTTCGATAACGTACCCCCGAAGCCTTCTCTAATTATTGCGGCCTTCATTTTGCATGCAGGGTGTTTTCGTGAGAAGCATTTCCCTTGTCAGTCATTGTCCCATCCCTGGAGTCTCAGTTCGCCGGATATTACGCGTCTGGACAACTCGTAGTAGTATTCACTTATAGTCTTCCCTATAGAACTGTAGAGAACTTAGAGAACCATAAAACGCCCAACACCTTACTCTTATTATTGAGGCCTCTACATTAAACACTAAGACATCCTAAACCCCTCTGAGTCCTAACTCAGGCAAGGGAAGGCCGTGAGTGGGACGTGGAGGAGAGTGCCGAGCTTGAAAGTTTCGCAGAGGAGAAGCATCACTGGCCACTTCTGATTCTGGGCATGTGTTTGCTTTCGGTTTCCTTTTGTAATTGTAGTTCTTTGTAGTTTAAGAATGTTTAAAGGGTTGAGACAGCATATAGGGTTTGGGTTGTTGATTGGGGATTGGGGGGGTCAGATTGGGTTGGTTTAGATTCCCTGCTGGTTGTTATTTGTTTTTGCAGGGCTTCAAAAGCGAGTCAGACGGTTTTCAGGCTCGGGATTTTGGGTGTGTCGCTTCGTAGGACTTAGGTTCTGACGTAGACCAGCACAGCATTGATATTTTAAAGAAAGGACTTGTGTCCGAGTTGCACTTCATGCACACACAAAATACCTCCCTCTGAGTGTATGTGTAGTAATACCTGTTACTTAATTATTTAACCACAACTCCGCGATGTATCATGATAGATGTGTGTATACACACACACACATATATATATCAGATGTAGATAACATGTTATATATATATATATATAGATACATAGTCATGGCCAGGTCCTCAAACGTATCATAAAAACAGTTGATGTTCGTCTTCATGTTCTCGCTCCGATTCGCCTACTGATCGGGCCTCCGGAGACTTTCCTGTCGAAGCCCAGTTACCCATGGAGTAGGTGTTTGCCGCCATACAACCCTATCGACCTATCTATCTATCTATCTATCTACATATCTACATGTCTACCTGTCTATCTATCTACCTATCTATCTACCTGTCTTTCAACCTATAATCTATATATATATATATATATATATATATACATATACATATACAAATATAGATATTCGCATAGGCGTCATGATAACTTTCTATGGATGAAGCCAGGGGGATGATTTGGGTTTAGGGGCTCAGTGGTTAAAGCTTCAGGGTCATGGGCTGTTTTTTGAGGGTTTAGGCTTTAGGGTTTAGGGTTTAGGAAGTAGGGGTACCGCAATTAGGGTGAGGGTCCAAGTCTTTCTGTTTTCGGGTTTGGATTAGGGTTTTTATAGGTTTAGGCTTAGAAGCAGTTGAATACCAACCCCTTAGAAAACCTGAAGCCCTCTAGGCTGGAGACTGAAAGCTTAAAAATCCCTAAACCCTGCAGCCCTAGAGCCCGAAAGCCCCAAGAATCCTGAAGCCCAAAAAACACTGAAGCCCCAACGTCATATAGCCCTGAAGCCCTCAAAACCCCGAAGCCCTAAAACCAGAGAGCCTTAAAGCCCTAGAACCTATGAAGCCCTCAAGCCATAGAGCCCTGTATCCCAGAACCCCAAGAAGCTGAGGAACCTTCTGAGTCTCAACAACCGCCTTCGGCAGCTCGGTTTGAGGAACCCGGCAGCCTTGACAGAGCCTTGGCGACCACTGAGTTTAGGGGTTTAGGGTTAGGGGTTCAGGGTTTAGGGTTTAGGCTTGAGGGATTTCGGTTCAGGGCCTTTACGGCTTTTAGGGTGGTGTGAGGTTTAGGGCTTTCGATTTGGGGTTTAGGATTCAGGGTGTACTGAGTCTGTGTAGATTCGGGGATGGTGTGCAGGCGCTGGTCCTGGGAATAGAAACGCTATCTGATCGAGGTGCCCATCTGAAATCATCTGCCCCTCAGTGCCGAGGCAGACCCGAATAGCATTCTTGAAGTCTTTTGCAAAGCTTGAACCGAAGCGGGTTTCGCAACAGGCGCTTTGTTTGGGATTCGGGTACATGTACAACGGATGTCATATTTCGAGAACCGCAAACCCTACCAACTCTCTGAAGAGCAGTTTTTCTGTTCCAATCACACGCCCTCGCTCCATACGATGCTCCCGGCCGTGAAGGATGTCCAATAGAGCAGATGCCTGACCGACTACCAAAAACACCACTCGTGACATACACGTACAAGGCTTCTGTATTGTTTGTATAGTGTACTGTAGCCCAAAAGCCTTTCCAAACATTACGGGCCTCTATGTTACGCCAGATTTTATGTCTGATTCTCAGCGAGGGTCTCTGCTCATCCTATCCTCGTGCGAGGTGTTCCCTTGGTGTCAGTGTAATTAGGGTTTAGGATTTGAGGGTCTGAAGCCGGTTGCCCCAAATAACAACAATAGCCCGTATCGTTCTTAGCCTACATGTTAAGCCCTAGGCTCCATATTCCTAGTCTCGATCCTGAACCCTGAACGCCTACTGTCCTTCCAAAAACCTAGTCCTAAAATCACTAAACTTGAGGACACAGTGATCCAGCGGATCTCCGAACTGCAGTACGAGACAGCATGCTTGCTGGTGTCCTTTTTTGAAGACCCTCCGGAGACGCAAGACCCGACGGACAGGGTTTAGGGCCAAGGGTATCTACTTCGATGTTCGGATGTGGGGTTTCAGGCTGTAGGCTGAGGGGTTTCAAACATGGGCTCATAGCAGTGTATGGTAAGATGAGCAGCGCCGCAACAGTGGCTCCCATGCTGCCGTCGCCAAGCCGCACAACAGAAGAGCAGCGCTGGAAGCGCTCGACACGGGTTTTCGACGGTCAACGACAGACGAGCTAGTCAGTCAACTTCAAGAGATAGCTATCACTAGCACTGTTTTTATTACTATGACTCCCACCCTTCCCGCTATTCTTGCTCATACTACTATAATGCTGTTGCTGTTTGTTATGTCTCATGCAGCCAAGCGCTGGAATCCCACTATGCGTAGGGAGCTCAGTCCTACGAAGCACCCACCCTGATTCTTAAAATCCGGTCTCCAGGAGTGCCTTCTGAAGGTGCCTGACGAGGCGATGCCAATTGAGCTTCAAGCTATTCTCGAGTCGGTGCCGTGGTTCGGATATCAGAGCCGTTCAGAGCCAGCCGCAATGTTCGAGGGTTTGGTTGTCTTAGTAACACCCTGACCCCTAACACCCGCAACTGGGCGCATTTCCTTATATTCTTGCCCAGTTCAGACGTCATTCTCGACCCCCCAAAACAGTAGAAGCAGGAAGCCGACCCCCAATAATGGGGACCCTTGAACATCAAAATGTAGAAGCGCCTCCACACGGGAAATGAAGCACTGCATCTCAGAACTGCGAGCGTTTGTGAACTTTGAGGGCTACTACTATGTCCATGCTTATGCACTCATCATCATCCATACCTACAAATACTTGGAGGGCCGGGGGACTTAGTAAGTCGGGGTGACAATTGGGGTAACTCCATTTTTAGGATATTATAATACAGGCGATTCCACAAGTCCTGGTGCAAACGGGTATTTATAATACTTGTAACTATAACTTATATCCTATTACTAAGTCCCCTGGGCCTCTCAACTGAGGATTTCATCAGAGATCATGATCGACTGCGACGTCAGGGCAATCGAATGCACAGGCATTTCGGTCTCTCCAAGAGATGCCTGGATGTTTGGGTATCCAGGTCGCTTCAAAAGGAATGTGTTTGTTTACTTCTTCGGGTTTAGGGTTTAGGCTAACCAGGTCTCTTTCGGGCATCTCGTCCGTTTATTATCTTAGCGCCTATAGGGTTTAGAGTTTAGATTTGGGGAATCTCCTTCTTGTGGAGTAGGGCCCTAATGTTTTGTGCTTTTATTGTAACAGAGTTAGGGCGCACGTTCCCTCTGAGATTTCGACGAGCAACCCAGGCAAGCCTTCCTTACGATGTGGCGCAGCATGCGCTCAGCATCTTCATGCTGGAGCAGGCTGCTATACCCTAGGGCTCCAAGTACACCAACAGTATACGTACTTCGGTGTCTAACGTCTGTAAATAGTACACCTGTTCTGGGCTATTCCGAGCCCTGGGGTACAGGGCTCGCAGTTGAAGGAGATTTGCGGCAGCAACCGTTCGGTGAACGTAGTCCAACAGTTTCTTTAATGCTAGTGCTAGAGCTAGACTAGTCGTCATGCGTAGTGCCAGTGCTGCTGCAAAGTAGTGTTTGCGGGTGTTTTGGCCATCACTCTGAGCACAATCCATTATCACCGATCAGGACAGGAGCCCGTTACCCTCCGAGCCCCGGAGACGCGACGGACAATCATCATACACAGCATAAGCAGGCATGACCCAAAGTGATGAGGAAATAAGCAAATATATCAACAACTGGCAAACACGTGTAGTAAGCAAGCATTTGCAAATGCAACGGTGCAAAAAAAGTGTTTTGTTACATGCGCCTCTTTGCGCGTGTGTATATTATACATGTACATATACATACATGCATGCATGCATGCAGACATACATACATGCATATATATATATATATGCATGTATGTATATATTTGTATATATTATTATGTATACACACCTATACATACTGTATATGTATACACAACATCTAGACACTTCGACAGATGCAAATATAATATGCTAGTCCGACATAAATCAACCATGCGCATGCACGTCTGCATTATAAGGACGGTGGTTGAAGCACCATGTGCAGCACAGTTCCGGCTAAAGAGCATAGGATTCACTGCTACGAAAATGCTGTGTCCTAGAATAGCAAGAAATCGAGCAAGCAAAATTCAGTTCGGGTACGTTAGCCTCCAAGCAAAAGAAGCAGACTCCAAGCTTAAATTGGCCATGCCAGAAAGCCGCCCCTCGTTCGTTGTCCGCCCTGCCCGCCCAACAACGGCTGACATGCTCGGCTTTTGTAGCTAATGACTTCGACCTCTTATCTCCAGCGGGCGTTCGGGCAGGACGAACGATCCAGAGAACTGAAATGCTACCCCGGGCTCTCAGAGCAGCATTCGACCTTGGAGTGGAAAGGGCTCTGCAGTTTAGGGCACCCGTAAACCCCAAACCCTAATCCCTGAACCTAATCCATAATTCCTAAACCCCAAACCCTAATCCCTAAACCCTAAACCGATCGCAGGTGTCAGCCCACCATTTCAAAGTGCCGGACGACGAGCTGAAAGCCATGGAGGCGGAGGCGGCGGACGACATTCAGATCATGAATGCTCCCCGACCTCTCTAGCATGCCTACGATAGGGGCCTAAATGATTAGAATAAGGTTCCTTTAAAGCGGCCTATAAGGGTTACTATAAGGTATCTATAACCGGGTACTATAATGTAGAGGCTTAACTGATTACCAATACTATTTTGGGGGTTCCTGATTATAAGTATAGTATAGTAGAATATGCCCCTAAACCCTATTCTAATTGTTAAGGCCCCTATATTATCTTGCTTTTGTAGTGTCTGCGTCTTTTGGATGAAAATTGGGCCTTATTTCGTGTGGCTTAACTCCTGGGCTCTGCACGCTGGAACTGAGGTTGGAGAGGATCCCAACCGGTATGTGGGTACCATTCGGAAGTGGGATTCTGAACGAGGTTTCGGCTTCATCGTGCAGCCGCAGCCAGAGGAGGAGACCGGGGAGGAGGATCACAAGGACCATCTTACGGTTGCGGGCTGGACCCAGGTGCGGGGAGACGAGGTGTAATTAAGAGGTTCTAAACTGACAGATCAGATAGTTGCTATTGGCAAGCTCACTAGTTTAAGGGTGCTTGGGTTCTCTATCCGAGCTTCAAGGCTGTACCTTGTCTCTCTTACTTTCCGCCCCGCCGGCGCGATGGCTTGCTGGGCATCATAGACAGGCATAATCAGGTGCTTAGGGTTTAGGGCTTAGGGGAGCCCTGCGTCACAATTGCCTAGTGGCAGATTGGACTTTCTGGTGGGGTGTTGCAGGGGTTTATTGGGTCAATTGAAAGGCTTGACAGGGCTCCATGGACTTGACGATTGAAGCTATTCGACCTGACGAGAGCGATTGCAGCGGCAAAAGTTCGACAAACAATCCGGACGTGCTTGATTGCAGCACGAGAGGCGTTTGAAAACCGATGGTTCTTGGGCAGTGACGGCCTGATTTCGATATTTAATATGACCCAGGTTAACAAGGTGCCCGTATAACTACCCGTAGTATGTAATGCTATAAACCCCGAGACCCTACTCTAATGATTACACCGACACTCTAGGGCTCTGAAACCTGAAGTCACGGTGTCAAATTCTGACCACTGACCTAAAATCCATGTTTGGACTGGGGAGGTCCCCCGTGTTGGATTACGATACCAACCTGAAGAAGCAGTTCTTGTGGAAAAACAAATATGCGTGTATATAAAACAAGAAGAATAATGAAGAATACAGTTACACATATTTATATTGATGGAGATAATGCACCCCAAAACCCTCATGCCCTGTTCTACTTTTTCGGCCCTCCATATGCGCAGAAGAGGATATTTTCGTCCACCGCACCAACCTTATGGGCTCCGCTCCGGGTGTGCACATCGACCTCCAGGAAGGGAGCAAGGTGGCTTTCTACTGTTTGCATGGGCCTGTGAGGAGTTTAAGGGTCTAGGGATTATAGGGTAAGCCGCCCAGATCAGCACAAGAAGCCTCATTGAATCCCATACGGGTCGCATGCTATGGGAACGAAAGCCCATAGTTTCAATCAGGGCTCCTCATGTGCATGTCCTCTTTGGGACCCTACACGCCAGACCCCTGACTCAGAAACCAGAGCCCCGCTCGGAAAAATTAACCAACATCCACAAGCCCAGACCCGAAACAGGGGTATCTGGCATCATCCCTAATTTTCAATCCGAAACCCCAAACCCTAAACACTCGCCTCAGGTGTCCTACTTCCTTGGCATGCAGGATGGCAAAGCCCGGGCTCTCCAAGCCGCGATGATCGACGACGAGTTCTACGTCCACCAAATCCATCTCCAGAAGAAGACCTCCAAGAGCAAAAATCTGTCACCGAAGGTCGGGTTCAGGGTTTAGGGACCGAAGGTCGGGTTTGTTGCGTTCAAGCGTTGGCGAAGTGGGGGAGTGATTGCCGTTCTGGGGATCTGAAAATCTGAAGCTCAAAATCCAAAATCTTTGAATTGGGCAGTCTAAACCTTCCGGCCGACACCCTAGAATTCCCTGAGGAGAAGCGGCAAGCCAGGATTCTGGAGATCGCCGAGCAGGAGACGGAAGTGCCTGCAATAGCCTCACCGAAACCGATATCTTGTGGGTTTCGGGTCTACGCCTAGCCGCTAGAGCCCCAAACGCTCTCAAGCCTGACACTGAGTCTTAATGAAGCCACAAAGTGCAAAGGTCGTAGCCTGACCGTCAAGTCCATCAGGAGACGCATGAGGTGTCCAAGTACTTCTTGAGGCAGATCGCCAGCGCTGCAATTCAAGACATGGTGCACGAAAGGAGCCGGCTCTAGGGGGCTCAGAGTTACGAGTCACGAGTTTTGGATTTGGGGGAGGGCTTGGCCTTGCATTGGGGCATTAAAAGGGCCCTGGGTTCAAGGCACGGTCCCAGTAGGCTTCGGCCCTGGGAGCAAGTGCCAGAAAGCACGAACCCCGACGGTTGAGGGTTTAGGCTTTCGGGTTCAGGGGTGACGGTGAGAGTTGTAAAAAGGGTCCAGGCGTTTAGGGCCTAGGGTTTCCGAGCCTTCTTGATGATGTGTCATCTGAAACACTTGCCCGCCCGCTGCAACCCGGGTAGAAATCGAGACTCTTAGTCACGGAAGGGAGAAGTGGGGTACGTGGACTACTGCAATGGGCCCTAAACCCTAAACACTAAACTGAGCCCCAGTCCCTAAAGTACAAGCCCCAAACCCAAAACCCTGAACCCCGCCCTAAACCTTATAAACCCTGAACCCCAGACCCAAAATTACAAACCCTAAACCCTGAACTTATAAACCCCAAACCCTGAATCATAAACCCTAAACCATCCTAAACCCTGAACCATAAGCCCCCAAACCCTAGATGTCTGTTCTGCCCCCAGATCTTCCCTTTGCATCTTGGTGGACCTACCACGCCTAAGGTCCCAAGAGCAATCAAATCCTGAAGCTTCGAGCCCTTAAGGGTTCCTTAAAAGGGACCCCTAAAGGGCTCCTAAAAGGGATCCTTCAAGGCTTAAAGGGATCTACATAGGGTTTCGGGTACTTTTGGGGCCTAAATAATTTCCAATACCATTCTTTTGGCGCTGTTTCCTGATTGTGAGTATAGTATATTATGTACCAAAACCCTATTCTAATTATTCAGGCCCCTTTGTTAAGTCACGCCCTGCTGTAGTCGGGGCTGGGAATAAGTAGTGCCTATATTCCTGAAAGTCAAACTAGACACTTGCTATGACGTACCCCAAAACCTAATTTACTTATGAAGGCATCTAGCTTCCTATGTTCAATTTCTGTGGGACAAACCCTTAGCCTCCAACAGCGTCGCAGACGTTCAATATCACAGACCCTCCTCACCTAAGCCCAAGCGCTGCAACCCTGCCCCCGACTTGGGCCTTTCTTAGGGCTCCTTATGTGAATCCTGCTATTTTGGAGTTATAGGCCCAGGGTTTCTGAATTAGGTTCCTACACTACACTCCTAAACCATACATAAAACGCCAGGAGGCAGGACTTCGAGTCCCATTTTCGCTGTTGGGGACTGCTCCGCTACAACAATGCGGCTCGCTTCTCATGTAAAGCTTGGGATGTTCCGTTGTGGTTCTATAGGGGTGAACCCTCAGGGTCTAAGTAGTCCTTATTTATGGTTTCTGATACCCAAAAAAGGCCCTAAAGTCCTCTAATAGGGAGTACTTGGAAATTTCTGGGGCAGGTCCCAAGGTTGTTTCATGTGGGGCTGTCCTGGGTCTTGGGGCTTTCAGACCCAGAGACTCCGATAGCCCTCAATTAAGGAATAGACCGTGTACATCATAGTAGGATCCCTAATATGATTTCAGATATTGGAGCCCCCTAAACACTAAATCCTCTAGATCTCTAGTAGGAACCCCTAGAGAGATTCTTGTAATACCGAGTTGTCTGAGTTGTACCATTAACATAGGCCGGATCGGATCAGTAAGGCTCATGAAGGGGAGCTCTGTTCTAGAACGGCTCTCACGTGTCCTCCAGGTCAAGCGCGACGACGTCTTCTGGAAGAAGGAGCCCCTCGGCTCCGCGTGGTGATTGAGATCTTCAGGTCGAGTTTGTTCCTAAGTAGAGTAGGGATCAAGTGAGGGATGGGCAAAGATGTTACTTGGCCGCTGGTGTGATGATCCCGGTAGTGCGGTTCAGTACGCCCCACACCCTGAACCCTTCTCTCTTCATGGATAGTGGTGTAGACTCCTTAACCTCTTCTTGTTCTGCCCATTTCCGGGGAGAAGCTAAACCCGCCTTGCCCGTTGCTGTTTTTCTCGACGCCCTTCGCAGGCAGTCTTTTGGAGCCACCTTGTGGCATCAACATCGGACTTTGGAAAACTAGAAGAAAGATGCAAAGTGGACTTGATCTTGGCAATGCTAGCTGCTAGCAAAACTGGGTGCTATCTGAAGTAGAGCATGCAATGCTCGTAACATTCGTATTCGAGGCCTGAACAGCCCCAACCCGAAGCCCTGAAAGTGCGCCTGCCAAGGATTGAGCGCAGGGTCGACATCTTCGTGGAGCAAGCGAGCACGCCCTTGCAGAAAAAGGATTTCGACTTCCGTGTGCGGAGATTCCTGACCGAGTTTTGCATGAGGAGCGGGATTTCTCAGATGAGCTGCCAGACCCTAAACCCCGAAACCCATCTGATACCCTTGGCTTTCCGAGATATGTAAGCAAGACTACAGCAACTTGTTGATGTTTCATTGCGCAGCCTCGGCATAGATCTTCAGTGATCTGTGTATAAATAGTATAGATAATGGGACGTAGTTAGTCAGGATACCACAACCTGAATTGGGGGTTGTTATAGGTATATAACTTATATAACCTAACACTATCCCTAGATGCCAAGTCCCATGATCCCTTAAATATGAGACTCCGGAACCCCCACATCTGAATTTCGAGCAAGTCACCCCTAAGCCCTACCAGTACAGGCCACAAAGCAACGAATGGAGCGAGGCTCGCTGAAATTGCAAAACGAGAGCCCCAAGACTCAACAAAAGGCGTGAACGATAGAACCTTTAGGGTCTACCTTTACCCGAAATCAACCGCCTGCCTAAGGACTTATATCAGGAAGCCAACAGAAGCGGTTCAGGTAGGGTTTAGAGCCTGGGTTGATACATGAACAACTGCATGCGACCATCGCATAATTATGCGTGACATCTACCGCAGCCTTAGACCCTAAACCCTAAACCCTTGCACCCTCAACCCTAGACCCCCCCCCCAAACTCAACCCCCAAACCTTACAATCCTTAAGCTCTAATAACTTTCAAACCCTCGAACGTCAAAGCCCCAACCTTAAAGTGAAAAGCCCAATTTCTAAAAACCTAAGCCTTAAAAACCCCAAAGCCTTAAAGCCTTAAACCCCTCATCCCCTAAACCCTAAAGCCTTGGATTATTAAAACCCCAGAGCCCTAAAACGTTAAACCCTTAAAGCCTTTACATTAAAAACCCTGAAGCCCTAAATCTTGTAAGACCCTAAAGCCTTAAAACCGTAAAGCCCTGATCCCCTACACACTAAAACCCGCTATTCTTGAAGCCCGAAAGCCCTTAAACCTAAACCATTAAACTTAAAAGGCTCAACAGCCCCTAAACCGTAGAGCCTTAAACCCAGCTGTAAAACCTTGAAACCCCAACACCCCAAACTTCGAGGCTTGCAAACCTCAAAGCCATCCCTCAACCCTGAACCCTAAACCTTGAACCCTGAATCCTAAACCCTGAACCCTGAACCCTAAACCCTGAACCCTAAATCCCGAACCCTAAACCCTGTAAGCCCTAAACCCTGTAAGCCCTAAACCCTAAACCCTGAACCCCAAACCTTGCTTGTCAGCATCTAGTGCCGACCCGTCAAAGTACTTCGAGCCCGAGACCTCGTCTGGCAAGTCCGAGTTGCGAGGGCATAAACCCCTAAGCCCTAAACCCTCAGCCCTAAACCCTATAAACCCTAAACCCTGAACCCTAAACCCTGAACCCTAAGCCCTGAACCCTAAGCCTAAGCCCTATAAAACCTGAACTGAACCCTTAACCCTAAAAATCCCCCCCCCCCCCCCCCCCACGGCAGGAAAAACGTGATCCGCGTCAGTGAAGCTCTGGCCATGGTAAGTGCCTGGATCTATCAGAGGGTTTGGGGTTTAAGAGGGTTTAGGGGGTTAGGGTTTAGGGTTTAAGAGGGTTTAGGGGATTAGAGTTTAGGGTTTAAGAGGGTTTAGGGGGTTAGAGTTTAGGGTTTAAGAGGGTTTAGGGGGGTTAGGGGCGTTAGGAGGTGGGGAACTTGGATCTATCAGAGGGTTCAAGGTTTAAGAGGGTTTAGGGGGGTTTAAGGGTTTAGTCATTGGGGTTGAGGGGTTCAAGGGTTTAGGGTTCAGGGGTTTAAGAGTTTAAGGGTTCGCTTAGTGGTCTGGGGTTTGGGTTTAGAGCTTTAGGGGTTTAGCGTTGAGGGTCAGCGGCTAGAGGGTCTGGAGTGCTCTTTTCGTTTCCTTCGAGCTTTCGAAAGCCGGGGCAGTCGTGTTTCGGTCTTGTTGCTGGGTTTCCATGGCCAGGATCCCACGCCCATTCCTGATCGAACTCGCAGACAGATGCCCCTACCCTTTGAGATTGCCTAAAACCATGCTGAAAATAGGGCTCGCGCGGACGTCATAAAACTGATGCCCTATACGCCAGGTAAGAGCATCTCGGGAAAGAAGAGAGAGGACATTCAGACTTGGCCTGCCTATGTGGTTCCCCTGCTGCAATGGCGTTGTCGAGAGAGGACTTTGGTGCTTGATGGCTAGGAAGATGTGACTGCGTCAAGATGCTCCTTACTACGGACGCCTTGGTTCAGGGGCGCCAGCTTGCACACATTGTTGAACTCACGCTAGCTAGAATCATTCGTCCAATCCAAATCCGGTCTGACTGAGCTACGGGAAGAACGACAACGTGCTAAGCCATAGTGCGTTCAGCAATTACCGGTGCAACTCAGCTATAAGTAGTTCGTTTATGCATATCCCAATTGAGGTTAAACTGTTTCTGAGCAACAGCTTAGATGCTGAAAACCATGATTCCTTAAGCAGGAGCATGCTAGCACTGACGTTTTTTTGGGAGGATTTTCCAACGGTGTTGTACAAGATGTTTATCTCGTTCACTGTACCTGACACCAACAGCAGCGATGACAGCACAGCGCCGTAGTGAAATGTACCAGTCGCTTTTCAACTTCTACGCGCAAAGTATGCAGCTTTCGGAAGGTCGCTGTAGCTACACATATTCATCAAACTTTGATGCCGTGCGACAGGGATCCATCACTTGTAGACAGGATGTGATCCTGTCTACATACGGGGTTTTCCGAAAATTAGGGGTAGCTTATTCTAAGGTCCTAATAGTAAGGATCCTACTATTTAGGTTACTATCGTAGGGTCCCCCGTTTTCGGAAGAAGCTCCCATATAAAGGGCAGAGCCGAAGGCATGGTCTTAGCAGTTGCATTGCATCGCAAGGCTACGCTGCTTCGCAAGTTCGATCCCGAAGTGAACGCCTTCATTACAAGTCGGGAGAGTCAGAAGAATTCGAAGGCGGATGCTGACGACACCATCAAGGCAGCGGGTGTTGGGAATGTTTTTGTTTGAACCCCGAGGGTGCAAGTACCCAATAATCATATGCTTTCCAAAATCCTAACCTACATAGCTGCTATCCTATACCCGAGTACCTAATCATCTATAGGTCCTTTGGACCCTTGGTCGAAGGCTTGTTCCAGGCCCTTTGATGCAATGGCGGGCCGTTGTGCGGCGGCCGATAGCATGGCCTTCATAATGGACCAAGAATCAGTCCCAGCATGTTGTGGATCCATGTCGACATTGCAGGAGGCGACGGATTCAATGACGATTGCTTGGAGGGTTCCACTGCTGAACGTTCTGGCTACTGCATGCAAGCTTGTCCCAAGTTTGTAGCATCTAGCAAGCAGCCGTTGGCAGGTACGTTCCCAGATGCTTGTCTTAAAGTTTCTAGCATCCACAAAGCAGCCGTTTGCAGGCAGGATTACACATACTTGTTATATCTCACTGCTTTGAGGTGCTTGTGCATCATACATCCACTCACTCATTTCCTCATTTCCTTTCGTCTCGATTTCGTATCTCAAGCTCTATAAACCCTAAACCCTTCACCTAAACCCTAACCCTACCTTACACCCGAGGGAGAAAAACCCTACACCCTCAAGCAGGATGAGGATGCCGAGCTGGAGGAGGAGGACAGCGGAAGTGACTCCGAAGACGTGGGTTCACTCAGCGACACGCTGGACATGTGCCCCTGCTGAAACTTGTCTGTCTGGTGCTTAGTAGGGACTGGGGGAATGGATTATGGAGACTACTAATTAGTGGAAATTTTACAGGGGCTACTATAGGGACCCATTCCCCCATTCCCCACTAAGCACCAGGGAGTTGTGACTTCATTGGTTTACTTAAAGGCTCCACAGCAAGTCCTTTGGGGTTCATATTTAGAATCCTATAAGGTAATCCCAAACCGGAACTACTACAGAGCCTTTGGGTATGCTAGTGTGTGTATTCAAAAGGCGGCAGCGTCAGGTTGAGCGGGTGATGGTTCTTGACGACGGTTTCTGTGATTCCCAGCACCTGTCACTTCAGACAACACTTTTGTCCTAGAAACCTAGCTCAGAACATGACACCATGCTCAGTTAGAGATCTGGATGTACGTATGTGTGCATGTGCGTACTGCAATGCAATGTAAAACAATGGGATGTTTGCAATGTCTGTGACGTGCACAGTATATGTGACATACAAGACGTGTGTAGTGTGCATAATGTAGGTCATGTATGTGCTGCATGTAATGTATAAAATGAATGCAGTGCGGTGTGGAGCGTGGCATGTAAAGATCGTGTAAACTGAATCTTTCGGCCCCATGTTTGAGCAGGTTAGTGTTATTGACCCGTTCTCAAATAAGTAACCGTAGCAAATGTCTCCTGGCTTCTTGCGGCATGCAAATCCGAGCGTCAACGTAACTAACCCTGAATCCGTTTGAGCCTCTCTCCACACACCTCCTCGAGCTTGACGCCCCTGAAACCGCTGTAGGTACAGCCCGCCGCCGGCACAACCCGAGCAACTCGAAGAAGCGATTCCCGAAGCCGACGAAGAGGCTTCAGGATTTGCCTTCCAGTGAGAAGATTCATTGGAGTCCAGAGGGGGTTTAGGAGGGTTGGTTCACTCGGCTACGCAGAATAGGGGTCATCTTGCCGAGTCGTAAGCCAAGCACATTTAAAGCTCCTCCTGGTCTCCAATAGCCAGATTTTTGCAGCCAGCAAAGGACCAAAAAAAGGTGCGGTTGCTGCATGCCAACCAAAGCCTGGAGTAGGTTTTAGGGTTTAAGCCCAACATAGAAGACCCAGTAGGGGCCGTGTTTAGATGCATCATAAATTCTACCTTACGGCACCCTTGTTGCACCGAAAAGGAAATGGCAGTTTCCACACTCAGCCGAGCATCAGGCAATGGAATGTGAATATGCCTCACTGTCCTCACCGTGAGACTCTGAGAGTGAGTGCCAAACTTGAAACAATAGTCCTTACACACCATGAGTTGAAAATGTAAAGCTGTTTAGAGTTCAGGGCCTATGCTAACGCTACAATCTGAAGTTTATAGACCCAACTAGGCCAACTGCACAAGGCTCTGCTAGCACTTCTGACCTGATGGGCTTGGGTTTAGGGGTTCTATTAATGTATAGGGGCCTTTCTCAAAAACCTTTCGTGGACTGATGCCCGGGCGGTGGAAAGAAAGCCACGCTTATCGAACATGAGCACTGAACAGAAAACTGGTGGTATAAGCCAGCTAAGCAGAGCACCACCCTACTACTGGTCGTACTCATAGAAGAAGCTACTACAAACCTGCAAAGTTCCTAGGCCCAGAACCCCTACACCCTAAACCCTAAACATCCTTCAACCCTAAAACCCTATACTCCTAAACCCCTCAACCCCTGAACCCCTAAACCCCAAATCTTAAACCCCTAAGCCCCAAACCCTTAAACCCTAAAGCCCTATGAACCCCTAGCCCCCAGCCCCAAACCCTAAACCCCTAAAGCCCTATGAACCCCAAGACCCCAACCCTAAGCCCCAAACCCCGACCCCGAAACCTTAAACCCCCAACCCTATAAACCCCAACCCACCAAGAATAAAACAAAAACCCTCGCGACTGAGGCCCGGGAGGAGCTCCAGGTGAGTTCTGACCACGATCCTTGGCTTTCTTCTGGGCTCCCAGAACTTTAACGGTTGAGGGTTTAGGGTTACTCAGGAGGCTAAGAGGGCCCCCAGGACTTTAACCTTTTGGGTTTCTACACGGGTTTAGGGTTTAGGGTTTCTAGTGAACCCCAGAAAGTTGGAACATGGACTTAGGATGATTAGTGCTCGGATTCCCTCTACTTTACCTTGAGGGAATGAGGATAATGATGTTCCAACTTTCTGGCTTCTACTGTATAGGGTTTAGGGAGGGGGGGTTCAGAGTCAGCCAAGGATCTCCAGTGGCTCAGCGACATGGAAACGGAAGGCAGGGCTGATTGTCTTGGTGGGAAAAATCTGCGTGAAGTTTCGGGAAGAAGATTAAGGGGTTCATGGTTTAGGACTGAGTTTTCAAGGGTTTTGAGGTTTGTGGGCAGAATACGTAGAGGCATTAAAGGCGCTTCCTTGGGGGCTGTACTGTCCCGTTAGGGTTTAATAGGGGTTTAGCAAGGCACTGACGAAGGTGTTTACATAGTTTCAGGTGCTTGCATGCGCAGGTTCAGTACAGTGTAGGGTTTTCGGATCTCTGTGCGAACGAAGTTCAGATTTTTCTGGGTACTGCAAGCCAGGTTTTGGGATGGGGTACAAGGTTGAGGACTGTTGGGTTTGCTGGTTCGAGGCCTCATTGTTTGTAAGGCCAAGAGTTCAGAAGAATGGTGGGGTGCGATTGAGGACTTTCGACTGTACCGGCTTAGTCTGGGCATTCGGGATTGAGAACCAATGCTGATAAACTCTAGATGTGTTTTTCCTTGGGTTTTCGGGTATACCATTCCCAAGTCTAACATCTGTAGAACCAATGATTCAGGCAGCTCTTGTTCTGAGCCAACACAGCATTAGAATCCATTTGAAGACCCACCGAGACCGACCTTGGCGTGATGAGGTTATCGTTGGAGGAGTGCTTTTTATTTCCACGGAGACGATGTCGGTATCTGTAAAAAGTATCAAACGATTCAGCATGAGTGTCCGGAGGCTTCGAGGTCCTGCCTGCAGATTTTCGGGTTCAGCGTACAGAACTTCGTGTTTGGGCTTCGTCCGCATGGGATGTTGGGACTCCACTCCCGTGCTCTTTCGGTCATTCTCGTGACAGTCCGCTGCTTTCACGGCCTGCCATGCATCGATGCAAGAGGAGCCTCCTGTGGAGCGCCTGTGGGCAAGGTGCTCGAAACAATGCTCTCGCCAGAGTCCCGTTTGTTCTTCTCGTGCGTCTTGCTCCCAGTGCAGTCTGTATAGCAGGGATGTAAAGTGTGCGCGATGTCGCGCTGTTGACAGCGCGAAGCACCTGAAGAATCAGCCAGACGGACATGTTCTGACGATGCAGCAGGTCCCACAACACAGCAAGCAGCGTTTAGGGCTGTGGGGCTGCCAGGAGCCGCTGTTCTTCAAGAGCTGTAGATAAGACCTACTTATCATCACCATTGTCGTCATCATCACCATAGCCATCGACATTATCATTACCATCATCATTCCCAGCACGGTCCTGTGCTCAAGCGGTTTCGTCCACAAACTTCCAGAGCCCACGCCCGTCAGATGCCGGTCTTTGCCCATTGGAGAAGTGGACGCCAGTCCCACAGCCAGATGACAAAGCTCCGTGCTTAGAGAGGGGGATCAGGGTGTACTTTAGGGGCCTTAACAAGCACCAATACTATTGCGGGGTTCCTTATTATGATTATAGTATAATGGGCCCCAAAACCTTATTCTAATTATTATAGGGCCACTATATTAGAGTTGGAGGCGCAATGTCATCGTCACGCCACTTCAGAAAATCAGATGTTTGCTGCTGCCTAAGCAGTCATGAGCATATCCAAGCATGCGCACTTCGACATTTTGGCGTTTCCTCAGCAAGTCGTTCTCAACCGTAGCTTGCGTGCATTGCTACACAATTTTGGTCCAAAAGGAAAGGCGGCTAATAAGGAGCCGTTGGAGCCAATGCCCTTGAGAGGATATTAACTACCTTATAGAATTTATGTGTAGGTCGCTTGGGAGCTCCTACAATAGCATTTGCTATCGGACAACGAGACCTGGCATGTTGCGAGAAACGATTCGTCAGTTCCGGTTGACCCTAAACCCTAACTCACTAAAGCCCATGGATAAAGGGGCGCCAGCAGGTAGGCGGCTTGTGAGGGATGGTGACTTTGCTCTGAAACTCTCTTGAGTGTTGCCGCAAGGCCTCACTTCGCCCGCAGATGGCTTCAGGGAGATCTGGAGAGGTAGCCACACATGCCTAGGACACAGAGGTCAACACATTGCAGGTTTCGGCATGTGTGTCGGGCCTTACATTCCGGCAGGCTGCCTTTCATGGCATGGTGTCAGCTAGCGTAAAGTGACCGAGACTCCTTTTCTCTAATGATGTTTGGACTCGGAAATATGGTAATTACCCGGCTTGGGGTCCAGGAAGTCGTTGTTTTGAAGTCTTGGGATAGAGCAACCGGCCCCAATCTGCCATTGATTATTTGGTGCGATGGCTCGGACCTTCGCGCAGACAGTGGACGTGGTAAGGCAATCGCCGCTGATGATTCTCGGCACTCCCTGGCTAGCTGTCGTGACCATTTTGCTGCCTCCGCTACAGGTGATGATGAATATGATCGCACTGGTGTTAGGGCGCCACAACGCAAGCAATAGCCACATCATGATGATGAGATGATGGTGATGCTGATGGTGTTGTGGTGATGATGGCGATGGTTGTGTTGACGGTGGCAATGGTAACAAAGGTGACTGTGATCATCACGACGAGGTTGGTTGCCCGCAACGACAGACACGACAGCGAACTATGCCCACGAAAACTACTGCCACGACTGCTGTTGTCGTGATGCTTGCTACTGCTGCTGCCTGCTATGTTGCAGTAGCGGCCCTTGGTGGGTTGAGGTCTTCTGCGCCGTAGAACCCTTGACACTGTGCTCCAGCGGTCCAGCATCAAGAGGGAGGGAGCGAGAGAGAGAGAGAGAGAGAGAGAGAGAGAGAGAGAGGGAGAGAGAGAGAGAGAGAGAGAGAGAGAGAACGCGCCAAAAGCACACGATTTCAAACACAACAACACCTTATAAACCCTTGCAAGGAAACAATTTCTGAAAGTCTGGGTTTCTGCACAACTGCAGAACAAGCGTGTGATCTCGTATTTGGTGCTTACTCTTCGGCCAGTAGCGACATATCTGTCGCTGTTTACTGTGCCACAAATGTCTCGTTGCCTGACAGGGTCATAGACGGGGGGTTTGCTTCGGAGGCCAAGCTAGGGCCCAGCTGCTCCCAAGCGTACGCCCCCCAACCTGACAATGGGGGTCTAGGGATTAGGCATACACCGACCAAACATGGTGTCCGGGCTTTGACGTTTCCCACGTGAGAGTGCATCCGGAATTTGAGCATGAGGGTCTTGAAAGTGCCCCCCTAAACCCTATAAAGCCTAAACTCTAAGCCCTAAACCCTAACCATTAGCCCCGAACCCTAAACCTCAGGAAACAGCCCATGACGGAAGAGGGGCAAGAGGAAGATTGCCCTGGGAGCTTTGAGGATGGCTGTGTGGAGGCCCGGTCTCTTACTATAGGGGCTTTGAATAAGAGTTAGAATAGGGTTTTGGGGTATTTTGTATTATACTTGTAATAAGGAACCCCTCCTAAAAATAGTGTAGATAATTATTAAGGCCCCCAAAGTAAGGCTCTTCGAGACCTCACCGTAAGCTTTCTTGTTCAGGGTTGTCGTTTTCGAGGTCCTCTGATAAAGACCAGACGGGTAGGTGAAGGTACGTTCTTTCAGGGACTCTCATCATGAAGTCCTGGTCTGTTTGGCTTTGTCTATGGTTCCCAAAAGGACAACCCTGTTCTGGTTCGGCATGCTGATTGTGGTCACTTTCTTTTGCAGGGTGGGTGGATATCTGGTACATCCTGGATTTAAGTCACAATTGTGTATAAGCAGTATCGCCTTGATCCACGACCATACTCACATGCACCAGCATATAAGGGAGCGGTCCGTATTTAGGCTGTTCGTTTTGCTGAATTGTGTTTAGATTCCGGGTTTGGGGTTGCGCTCAAGGCTTCTGGGTTCAAGTCAGTCTTAAAAGTAGGCACATAGAGCCGCCGACATTGACGTTGGATGGCAGGCAAGAGCAGAACAAACCTGTTTGTAATTGTAGTTGTACCTGGCAGACGGTTATTTATTTATGCTTGCGTGCCTGCACTGCACTTGTTGAACTCAGGTGGGTGACACGTTGGGCTCCCTCCGCATGGAGGCCTTTGAAATCAGCCCCTTGACCAGGTTCCCGTTTGCGGTTTGAGTTTGGAATGCGGGTTCAGGATTTTGGGCTTGAGAGTTCCATGGGATTGAGGGATCCTGGTGTTGGTTTTGGGGTCAGGATGTTGGAGCCGAGTTGTACCAGAAGAGGGTGTCGTGTTCAGGCTGTGGTTCCATTGCGTCATGAAAGTGGCATTGTTAAACAACAAGCAGGATGGATTAAGGCTACTGACATGGCAGCATTTCAACAATTGCAATGTGATTGACTCATAGCGGCTAAAAGACTCGAGAAAGCCGAGGTGATGCACTCTCGCAGGAGGCCATGTCGGAAATGAGGAGTTTCAACTTCTGTCGCTCAGCACGCAAGTCCATTCTATTGAGCCTGGGCGTCTCAGAAGGCGCAGCGCCCTCACCCGAGATGACACAGGACACCGCAGGGCAAACGAAGCATGAATACCATAGGAGCAGTTTCTCGATTGACAACAACAACTTAACAGCAGCAGCAGCAGCACGAACACCATATAATTTGCACTGCGGGCTAATTTCACATAGCGTTAATGTTGGACTAGTAGCCTGAGAAGCAGTAGCAGAAGTAGGAACATGGTAACATATGAATGCATGTTGATTGCTACCGTGACAACACAGCAATGTGTTGTGGGAATGCGTGCGGCTGGCTGTACTGCAGTAGTACAAGTAGTACCTGCAGTGCCATTACTAGGAATAGTATCCGTACCAGTAGTAGTAGTCGTCGTCGTCGCCGCCGTCGGCGTCATCGTCGGGCAGTTGCAGTGGTAATGGTGGTGATAGCGAAAGTGATAGCGGTATTGGTAGTGGTAGAAGCAGTCATTGGCCCAGTGGTATTAGCAGATGTAGTAGAAGAGAATGCTTCTGTGCCTGAGACCAGCGTGCTTTTGCACTTAGAGTCAATTCCTTGTATCTTATGTTTCTTCGTGATTTGTTATTCTCAACCAGGAAACAGCAGGCATCCAAGTAGAATTAGAAGGAAGCTTCTGTTGCCAGGACATCCTTCGGCCCTACTCCAAGGCTTCGGATCTGGCATGCGTGAATGCATACATGGCGATACTGCTAGGAGCAGGTACATTTCGCCTGTCGCGTGCGATTTCTCGATGTGGATGGTTGGTGGGATTTGGTGCACTGACATGTCTTAGCCTTTTCCACATCTTCATCTGCCTGCGGCTAGTCGAGGTCCCACAGCTGATTGAACGGGATGTACCCAACGCGACCTTCCTCGCCAAGATCTTCCTGTTGTCACGCAGTTATCTCTTCTACGCGGTGCTATCAATGTTGAGCTGGTACGGGGCATGCGCCATTCAGTTGCAGAATGTGTTTCTGAACGTCTTGAGTGTCGTGACCCCAGACATGGAACAACATGCTGACGACTTCGAGGATTTGGATACGCCGTTCGGGTGGAAGATTGTCGGCACAATTCTGCTGGCCATCGTCATCGTTCCACTATCTTTGAAGACGAGCGCTAAGGACCTTCAGACGAAAGCCTCCTACGCCGTTTACTCCATGCTTGCCATCGGCATTATCGAGATGACCTGTGCATCTATCCATGGTTTTGCGACTTGGTTCTCTGACCAGCCTAACGATTACTGCATGGTCGGAAAGCAGATCCCTCAAGGCCTCTATGACATGGGCATGGCCTTTGGGGGCATAGCAATCTGGCCTTACGTCTTGGCTGACATGCTGAACCCAGGCAATGCCAAGATTGTAGTCGTCAAGGCGACCACGAGGATAATGTTTTTCTACCTGTTCGTGGCGATGATTGGCTACTTCGGCTGGGCACGCACTATCGAGAAACGCACGCCATTACAGCAGATGATGGAGATGGGCCTTTGGTACCAAAACGCTGCACGCATCATCAGCGCGCTGTTCGTGCTGAAGATACTTGGTTTGATGATCGATAGCAGCTGTGTACTACTGCTACTACCACCACTACTACCACTGCCTACCACCACCACGAACGCCACTAGTACCACTACGCGCCTCTGTGGCGCGTACTACTACTACTACTACTACTACTACTACTACTACTACTACTACTACTACTACTACTACTACTACTACTACTACTACTACTACTACTACTACTACTACTACTACTATACTACTACTACTACTACTACTACTACTACTACTACTACTACTACTACTACTTCTACTTCTTCTTCTACTACTTCTACTACGACCACTACGACCACTACGACTACTATATTTATATTACTATCACTACTACTACTACTACTACTACAACTACTACTACTCTACTGCGACTACTTCGTCTTCTGCTACACTATTATTGCTACTCTACGAAAGCGCCGTTGAGGCATAGCTGGTGTTCTGCATTTGTAATTTTCTCTGTTGGTCTGTATCTTCCAGTGGCAG